CCCCGGGGCCTTGTGTCCATGCGTTACTGTTGAGAGCAAACACCACGGCAGTCAGTGCCTGAGATTTAGGAAGAGACGGGGAAACTTCAGCACCTGCAGCTGTGGCATGAGTTGCGTGCATTGGGAAAAACAACCAAGGGCTGTGCCACTGGTTGCTCAACTGTGGGTGTCTGTATGAGTGTTCATACAGGTCACCCAGTGACCAACAACATATCATTTCAGCACATGCACCGTGTGTTCAATTCCATACAGAAACTATTGGTTTCCTAGAGAGGCAGGTATATTGAATGTGATTTATTGCATTTTCTTTTTGTAAAGGACATGACTGAAGGTGGAAATAGGGCTGGTGCATGGTCAGGTGTGTCTGGCCATCTCTGTGGGCCCTGAGCACGAAGCAGCCATGAGGCACGTGATGCTTCCCTCACTCACATATCCTTCCTGCATGGGCTTCACGGGTACCGCACTTCGGGGCGTCTCACCTCCATGGCAGCCACAGGTGGTTACTGCCCGCCTGCAGTCTGCTGGTCAGCGGTTATTTGCCACCACAAGAGGCCTCTGGCTGGGTTTTTCTGTGATGTCCAAGGGGCTGCTGTTTCTTGAGACCTATGATTTTAATCCACCCTAGAGGAGGGAGAATTCTAGGTGCGTCGGTCCCATTATAACGGAGTTACGGAGAGTGAGAGAGCCCCACTCAGTGTCATGCCCAGAGGTGACATGCTCCCTCTGTAACAGGTGGTTCGGGCCATGTCTTACTGTACCTGGCAGGCAAACCATATCAACTTTAAGTTTTACTTCAAAAAGTATTTCTGAGTCGTGTCTAAAATATATTGTCAGGTATGATTAATCCCATGCTTAAAATTCTAAAAACCAGTCTGAGCACATGTGGCCAAAAATGGAGGCTTATATTTTTTCACTGGGAAAGGTATTCTGCTCCCCCTCCCCTTGGGTATGTTAAAAAGTGTGATTCGAATTAATTTAAGCTCACTAAAGCAAAATAAAATAAATGGCACCTGAGATGTTTTAGGTGAAAAATGTAAAAGAAGAAACCATCTGCCAATGGAGACGAGTAGTTTATTCACCATGTTCCTGACGCCAGATGCCCATGGTCACAGCTGAACTGTGGCACTGGTTTGGCACAGGCTTGGGGCCATGGGGTGGGACTTCATGAGCACCCAGGTGGGTGGCTAGCACAATTCAGGTACTCTCCACTCTGACAGTGTCTCAGGTCAGCTCTTGACTCACATTTCCCTGGTGGATGATAGTTTTTGAGTTGTCAGAGTGGCACTGAAACCTTACTGAGAGAGTGGACCACTTAAATGGAAAATGGGCTTTCTTTTTATTAATACCCTGAAATGAAAATTAGACACGATCTGTTCTTTCATGTCCCCTTTATTTTAAGTTGAGAGGAAAGAATATTTGTTTGGGATGAGATGCTCAGATAATAGACACCGTTGATGGAACGTCTTTCAAGTGTTGTCCAGCTGGCATCCCGTGGCAGGGACAGGAAGCCCCCGTGGGGCGAGGAGGCGCCTGGCAGGTGTGCGTGGTGCTTCGCCGGCACTCAGCCCTGCATTGGGTTGCCCAGCTATGCTGAGTGCGTGCTGTGGCCGCTGCTTCACTTGGAACCTCTTTCTGTCCCTTCTCTTTAAATGGGTGTCCTCTCAGCTTCTCCCTAAACCAGACCAGTGTCCATGACAACTTTACAGTGTCAGAAATGAATGTCTCAGCACACATGGGGATCTTGAACTGCTGCTCCAGGAGACAGGTAAAACCTTGCTTTGCTTTTCCAAGGGCAGCGTCGTGGGGCAGTGTCAGCTAGCCTTACATGACATGCTGCACATTCTGGAACCATGCCTGCCCTTCCTCCACTCTCCTGTCTGGATCCTGATACTTGGCAAGGCAAGTGGGAGCCTAGTGATTCCTCTTCGTGATGGCAGTGGTTGAAGGGCTTCCTTCCAGGGAGTGTGGCTTCAGTCGTGCAGCCTGTGCTTTGCAGGATAATGACCCACATTCTTGGATGTGGGCGACCCCACACCCAAAGCAGACTCTAGGGTCCAGGTTCAAGTAGATGGACTTAGAAAGTAAGCCTGGGCAGTTCAGAGCTTGGAGATGGGTGAGAGAATTCCTTGGGTGGGAGGGAAAAGGAGCAGATTCACTTCCTTTGTGGCATTTTCTTAGGCTCGGATTGTGTTCTTGTTTGGTTGATTGAGATGCTCTCTGCTGTCTGAGGATGGGCTGTGGGAGACAGCTGGACAGGCCTTTCTAACATTGGCCCTTTCTTCTGGACATGGGAAAGGTGACTGGACTCGGGATTATATTCTACAAGACAGGAACTAGGAAAGTGGCCCAGCACCGGGTGGCCCGACATTCCTTTATGTTGGCTACTGCGAAGAGGCGGTTAGAATGCGACAAGGCTGTAGGCCCCATGGTAGGAGTGCAGGGCGAGCCCTGCGGAGGCTCCGGGTTTCTGAGGACACAGTGCAGTGGCGCCAGGTGGCTGTGAAGCTGGGGCCCACCCTCTCTCCTTGTCAATCGGATGTGATTGGAGTAAGTTTTGATTGATAATGCTCAGGTACAGGAGTGGTAATAGGTACCAAAGTCATCCTGAGGAAAATAGTGAGGGGCAGTTAAATGACCACTCTTGGTTCCTTCCTATTTTTTAAAGAAGGAGGCCTTGTTAGGAGAAAGCACAGAATTGTGTCTGTTGGGATGGGAGACAGGAGGCAGCCTGGGATTAGATTGGGCAACAAGGTACCTCAGATTGGGTGGCAGGCAGCCCACTGCTGTGGAATATTATCCCCTTCTCAGATGGGCTTGGGCTCAAGTTGGGTTCATCCTTCTTACTGAGAGTTTGAGTTTGTCTGCCCAGGTGTTGCTCAGAGCCCCCAGACATTGCATCCCGTGGAAGGAGGCATATGCTGTCCTGACCTGGGCGACCAGTCCTTCCTGGGGGCCCAGCCTGCACTCTGCTTTGTGCGCTGGTGAGGACCAGGCGGGGCTGGAGGGGGGCTGGCAGGCATAGGTGCTGGTGCTGCCTAGCTATGCTGTCTTGTTTTTAATTTAATAAGCTTCACTTTTTGGAACAGTTGTAGATTTCCCAAACTATCACAGCAGTAGTGCAGAGAGTTCCTGTGTACTCCACTCGTTTTTCCCAATGCCATCCTGTTACATCAAGTGAGACATTTGTCACACCTAATGAACCAGTGTCGACACATTATTACTTATTCACATTTCCCTAGCTCCTCCTTAATGCCCTCTTTCCGTCCCAGGATCCCACCAAGACCAGCATGATGTTTGGTCATCGTGTCCCCTTACACTTATCTGGACTAAGCCCGTGTCTCAGACTCTCCTGTTTTTGATCCCTCTAAAGTTTTGGGGAAGACTGGTCA